AGAGATCTGATTCACCTGGGTGAATGGCAGAGATGGCCGTATTTTTTCTCAGTAAGGGATTTTCCATTGGAAATGTTTCCACGGATATTTCACCACTCTGTTAGTAAGTGTGAGTCACCAATATCCCTGGAGCAGCCAAAGCCTTGTTCTCGCTGCAGCAGGTAGCAAGGGCACATCTAAGGAGTAGGCAGGAGACAACAATGCAGGGAATAGGGAATAGTCCCTGGACATGGGGAAGAGGGCTGTGTATCATCACAGATACCCTTAACCACTGACGAAAGGTGAAAGAGGCATTTCTGTCCCCAGAATGTGCTCAAGGGGTGACGGCAATGACCCCTCCCTTGTCCACTCGGCTACGGTGGCTGAGATGTCATGAAATGGGGCTGAACTGACAGTTTCTGCTGAAGAGGACTCCTCTCAGAAGCATCAGCTTTTGTCTCACTGACCTCACACATGCCAAGTGTAGGACTTAAGACATATGCCTTTAGTCAAATCGCAATTATTTTATGAATCATTGAAGCAAATTTTCAGGATGTGACACATTCTGGCTGAAAGTCTGAGCTTTCCCTCCTAAGCCTAAACTTGTGACATTTCAGAAAACTTTGCAGTACAATCAAAATGGGGGTTAATTGCCTCATAACACCCATATAATTTTCCAGTCCTCTGAGGAACCTGGAGACAGGTGAGACCTTCACAGCACAGACAGGACAGGGGCAGAGGGATGCTGTTCGGGTGCTCTTGGCCCTCTACAACACAGCTGGTCCCAATGCAGGTGTGGCAATGGCAATAGCCACACGTGCACCCTCACGGTGGGTCTGCCACTTCGGAGCTGCTCTTTGGTGTGCTTTCAGGCCGTCCTGAGCTGAAGTTCCCACAAAAATAACTCCTAGTGAAACCAGCCCTTGCTAAAGTGCAGACATTAGCCCTGAGCATCAGCTCCAGGCTCTTCTGGCAGTAACTGTGTGGAGCATACCCTCCACTGCATCTTTTTGTTCCACTTATTTTCGAGTGTTTTGGTCCTTGACTTGAATATTCTCCTTTTCAATGGGCATCATGAATGTGTCTTTCTCCCCTTGACAAGCCCAAGGATAGCAGCACTTTGTGCTTCCTAACAGGAAAAACTGTTTAAAAAAGTCCTGAGATGGTTTTCAGATGGAGTAGCTCCTGCTTTTATCATGGTATAAAGTTCATCCATACCTTTTAAAACAGTAATTCCCCTGCCCCAGCTCAAACTTTGAAGGAATTAAACTGCAGAGTAGACAACGTATTTTCACTACTTTGCACTTGATGCTGGGACTTTTTCACAGAAGTTTCCAGGTTGACATCAGCCCCCTTCATTGCCCATGATTAATAGAAAAGAACAGACACAGTCTCATCTGACCAAGCCATCTGTGACATTATGTCTTTTTATAGTTCACAGACTGATGCAGAATGCACCTTTGTGCATAGTGAGTAGGCTCCGCTGGCATGCAGGGAGAGCAAGCTTGAAAGGTACAAGTGGTTTTTAATTTCATTTTGAACAAGCTTTCTTTGCTTCTTACAAAATAGGTAGGTTGGTCTTCTTTCTTTCAGGCAACCATGTAAAGAAACACACTCCTACACAATGGACCTGCAAATCAAATACACTCACTGATTTTCTTCGGTAACATCCTGTGAATCTCTCCTTAGGGACTTCTGGAGATGATGAACCAGACAGTTTAGACATCGACTGCTTCAGCCAGCTGGAATTTAAGGATTCCTATAGCAGCCTGACCTGCAATTTTACAGAGCTGCCCCCTCACAACACTAACTATACCCTGGCCCTGTGGTAAGTGCTGCCAGTCCGTCCTTTTGTAAACTTCTGGGAAGTGAAATGCTAAGCACCAGTGAGTCACGCTGACATATGCTGAGGAATAGGAGCAGAAAAGTTAGACAAAAATCTGTTTCAGACTGTTTTACCAAGTTTTAATACTATATTCAGCAAAGGAGTTAACAGAAACAGAATATAACTTCCTAATAAAGAAAAGGAAACCAGCTGGAAGGGTCTGTAAGTGGCATAGATCTCCAATAGTCATTGTGCCTCTGTTGCTCTGGAACACCTGTTACTACTGGTATAGCCCAGCATGAGCATTTTTCCTTTAAATTACATTATATTAAGAAAAAAAAAAATCAAACCAAAACCAAACAAACACAGCATTTATCAGGTGAAAATTCAAAATCCTTTTGAAGAGGCAGAGCCTTCACACAGAAATTACTGTGGCAAAAAGGCTGATTTCTACTGAAGGGAAAATGTGTTTATCTAGATCGAGACAAAAATTAAATAATTGTCTTTGCATAAAAGAACAACAGAAAACACACTAGAATGAATACACTAAAACCCAACAGTTACCAAACACATCAGTCATCTGCACTTCTCATTCAGGCCTTGAAGCTCTTTTCCACCTTTTTTTTAACTGACGCATCTAGCTGAAGAAGCTTAGATTTTGTTTCTTCAGCCTACTTCTGCTTTTCCCTTTGCTTGTTTTATCCTGAAACTAAAAGTTCTGCTGCAGCCAGCAAAATAACTTTATTTTTATTGCATTTTACTATTCTAATAACTACTTAATTTTCTTACATCTATTTTATTACAATTTTTTATTTTAATCAGGTTTATCCTGGATTTGAATTGAAATTTTATTACAGTCTTGAAACACAGATGCTTTTCCAACTCTGAAACTCTGACTCCCTCATGGCCTGGATGACTGCTGGCCCCGTATTTTCTGCCACTTCAGTCAATAAGAAATTTCTCTTTATGGTCAGTGAGCATCCAAACTTATCTATATTTTAAAATGGCAGCAGTAAGATTTTTAAAGAGCAAAAGGTTTTTAACACATACATCTCCAATTTAATAATTGCATTTTTTTTCCTGGTGAGCTCTAGGACTGTTACTGTGACTTACAACACTTGATTACTGTGCACAATGACCATGAAGTAAAACACTATCAATCTTTTAAACTCCTTATTTGCATGGCATTTTTTCTTATTTCATACGGAGTCTCAATTCAGTTAATGTGAAAATGAGCAACCAGGATTCATCCCTTACTATTTTATACTAAGACTGAGAAGAAACTAATGCTGTGTCACTTTGGTCAACAGCACCAAGGAAGACAGCAATTACGTGTGCTTCAATATGAAGAAACGGGAAGAAGCATATTTCCTACAGTTCACTGATATACTCTCGAAAAAATACGTTTGCATGAACATTGAGATGAAGAGAAGGGTCTGCAGGAGTCTGGTTGTAACCGACATTGGTAAGACACCTAACATTTTGGACATTTTTAAGATATAGTGGTAACTGGGAAAAAAAATAGCCCAGTTTCTAAGCACTAATCTTAAAAGCAGTATAAAACAGCAGAGTATGGAACCTAGATTGGGGTGTTGCCAGAGTGTGATGTTCCCCTTGCTTCAAACTGAAACATGATTAACCTCCGCTCAAAACATGCAGCTGAATTATAGCTTCTTGTAACACTGATCAGACCTGGACACAGTCGGAATCCTGCACATGAGCAAAGAAGCTGTTCCTGAGCTTGGATGAACTGTCAAGCAAAGACTTTTTTTAATCTCTTACTGGGGCTTGTGCAGTTTCAGGAGTGACCACCTCAATTCTAGCACGAGCTCAGCAGCACAGGGACTGTAAGGTTGCAAGGTCTCACTTTTCACACCTTGCTTCTTGGTGAATCTTGCTGTCTGAACAAGGTGGTCAGGCATCCCGCAGCACAGAAGTGACACTGAGAACCTGTGAATGGGCTCATCAAAGCCATGCTGGGGACCTCCCTGAGCTAAGAAATAGGAAACCTAGGGAAAGAGCTCCTTGGGACTCAGCCCTGTTGGGAGCTGGTCTCATTCAAGGTCTGCAGAGAAGCCCCTGTAGGGCAGCTCTGTTCTGCTCTGGTGCCACATTGCTTTGCAATGGCACTGCAACATCCTTCTCTTAGGAACCATTTCTGCCATAGTCCAGTAAGTTTGCAACAGTCTTACATTATCTCTCAGTTTATGGGCCGGCCTGGACCATCTCTGCTGGTCTCTCCTTTAGAAAATGCTGATTCTGCATGGAAAGGTTAAATATTTGTGGCATACAGAAGTAGTGGACCTAATTTCTGGCTCTACGCATTTTCCTGAGTGGAGACAGATGTGGGCTCTCTGTTCCTGTGAGAGCTGATGCACTTTACACAGCTCATACAGGAGCCTCAGCATCAAGACACAGGTCTCTGGCCTCAGGCACCACCACTCAAGCATGACTTGCAGGGAGTTCCGAGGGCTGCATTTCAACCTGTTATACTTGTACAGATGGTCATTTGGCATCCTCTTCTTTTGCATAGTAAGTCAGGTATGGGTTCACAGCAAAAGTCTAGAGCCAGAGCCCCCTCTGCTACATCTAGCACTGTCAGACTTCATCCCTTCCTCTGCCCCACTGGATGCCAGTGGTTGTACCCATACACGGTTTGCTCCCCAGCACCTTCCTCCCAGAGCAGCAGTGGTTTTGCCATGGGTTTTCCATCTCAGAGCACTGGTTACAGGGACTGAATTTCAGGCCTTCAAGCAGTGCTAGAGCAGGGGTGGGCACGCTCAGGAATTGCTTTCCAAGACCAAGTGTCACATCCCTAGGAAGCACCATCCCTGCTGGTCACACCATTGCTCCATCAGGTCAACACCAAGCCCTTCTCAGGACCAAGGTGTAAGGATGAGCTGGGACTCAGTGTGAGACTCGTTTGGGTCAGGCCAGCCCACACTCAAAACAGCGCTGTAACATAAAATAGACTTTTTAAATTTTTAACTTTTTCTTTTTTAATTTTTCAAAACCTGTCTATTTTGTAGTAACATTATTCTACTCCTGTTATAACTTGGTTTGTTTACATTTACAGTTAAGCCTGAGGTACCATTCAATATAAACATCACATACCAAAAGGAGGCAAATGAATATCTTATTCATTATAGTACACCACATTCGTGGAAGAAATACTTAAAGGACAAATTAGTACACCAAATAGCCTTTCGGCAGGAAGAAGGTACTTGGAAGGTAAATGATGATGTATTGGTAAGCTTACACTAATTTCAGAAATCAAATGTTCTCAGAAATACCAGTATCATGTGAAACCCCTCAAATCTGCATTTCTACTGTTCTCCAGCAGAAAACTTGGAAAGGTGCAATATTTGACATTTTGAAATTTAATTGGTAGAAACAATTCCAGACTGACAGCACCCATGCCTGTTAGACTCTTCTCTGGGCTAACAAAATTTCATTAATCTGGGCTTTGCAGTGGGAACTGAAGACGCAAAGTTAATAGAGAAACAGAACCACCCTACATATTTGGATGGCTTGTTTTGCTTTTGTTTTCTGTCTCTCAGGAAATCCTATTACCCCCTCTTTTTTTTCTTATTTAGCAACTGGTTTTTTTGTGTCTCTTTTTCACTGAGCCTCTCCAGGCTCCGGGTACAGCTCTGCATCTCTCCCATCCTTCAACCATGTTTTGGGCTGCAGGTGTCTGTGACCTGCATCTGGTCTGGGCTGACCAGCTGCTGGGGCCTCTGTGTTCCCTGTCACGAAAGCAGCTGTGCCAACACTAGTCCAGATGGGAGGTGTTTGGAAGCACGGGCTACACCTGTGTTTTGCAGAGGGAACATGGGAGAACTGTAACTAGGAAAAAAAAAGATTCAGACAACCAAATACAGTGAAATAAAGAGTGTCAGAGCTGCACTGTGGGATTCAGCTTTTTTCCTGTAACTGCTCTTTCAGAAGCCTTTTTATGCCACACAAATGTAATTTTTCCCCCTCTTACTTCTGAGCCTCCCCAGGGAAGCATATATTTGCCACTTCAGTGTCAGCACTAGCAAAGTACAGTTAATACTGCCAGCTATTTCCCAACAAGATTTTACCCAGAGTTAATCTCTCTTCTCCACACTGTCTGGACTACACAGTTGTTAAATCAGACTGGTGCTGTGATGACCAGCTTCATAATAAGCAATGAGAAGGAACAAAGAGCACAGTACTAAGGGAAGGCACCTGATCTCACACACTTTGCTGAAACTGAAAGATTCTTTTCCTGTGTCTAGAAAAATAATTGGGGTTTTTTGTGTGTTTTTAGACAATAGAGTCAGCATACCTGCAGGTAAAATTACTGGGGAAAAACCTGGAAAATGATGCAACGTATGAGGTGAAAGTACGTTCGCACCCCAATGGAGATTATTTTAAGGGCACGTGGAGCGAATGGAGTGCTTCCAAGAGCTTCAGGACCGCGAGGAAGCAGCAATCCACAGAGAGTTGTAAGGCCAGAAACTACTTTGGTCCACCTGGAAGAAGCAGAGCCAGGGGCCCTTGGCTCCCTGGCCAGCCCCAGCAGCAGCAGTGATGATAGCATGTGGAGGGAAGAGACTGCAGCCACAGCAGGGTCAGCCCTCAGGGATGCTGGGCATCCCAGAGAGGATGACCCAGAAAGCGGCCATATCACTCTGGTCTGGGGCTGACTCTTCCCATGAGGTTAAATCTCACTTGAGGGCAATAGCATCAGATGAAATGCTGGTGTAAGGGCATGAGGGGGGTGCAAAGGGAGGTGAAGGCTGATTCATGCCTTCTTGCTGCCTGCTGACGTGCAGGGAGAAGGACCAGTTTGCACTGAGCCCTTCAGGTAAGGAGCAAAGGAGAGGTCAAACAGGATGCCCTTCAGGGCCTTGGGTTTGTGTGCGCACACAGCACTTTAATCACAAATGGTATATGGGATAAAATCTCATTGTTGTCCTTGTAAACACAAATAATCCTTCTGATCCTTAGGGTCACTTCAGTCTGCAGGGCACCTTAGCATTATGTGTGTTCCAGGTCACTTCAGTGCTTCTGTAGCTATGCACTGAGTGTTGACTTCAATGTGCTGGAGGTGATAGCAGATGATGAGTTGCATTAATCCAGCTTGAGAACCCAACTTGGAGCTTGGCCAGGGACTGATGCTCTGGCAGCCTACTTCTTTTCTCCTTCAGGGAGGCAGGAGAAATGCAACACTGGACCAGTCCAGTGATAGGAAAGTGGAAGGGTTGGCATTAATTTCTAGTTTACTGTCTGAAGAAACATAATGGTTACAGTGGCTTAACAGAGGCATTACATGCATTGGCATTCCTTGTTTTTCTTTAGATAGCAGTGTGGTCTTGCTTACACTCTCCATCCTGGGATTCATGCTGTCTGTTGTCATGATTGTCCTGATCGGAACTTTTTGGGAAAACAGGTAATGTAGGTCTCTTCATATCAGTAAAACTGTTGGAAGCCAGTCCTGTTCAGACAGGATTGACAGTGTTACTGCTTTCCCTGTTGTACTTGTGAGCTATTCTCTTTCCATCTCTGGCCCTCCATATGAAACCGAAGGCAGACAAAGAGTAGAAGTGGGCAATACAAAAGAGGATGTTGGCAGGCAGAAGATGACCTGACACTTCAAGTAGACTTTAGTTTTGGGCTGGAAACCCTGGCACCTTTGGAGATCTGAAGTCACTATGAAACACTTACAGATCCAGTGTCTCATTAGAGGCAAATTTGACTCAAAAGCTTCAAGCAAGATCCAGAAAAGAAAGCAACCTGTGGGTTTTAGTAAAGTCCCAGGAGGTGTCAAAATGGTATAATGGGGAGATTGTCTCT